CTAATCTGACTCTGAATTAGGATCTGTCTGCTGATCAACAGACCTATTGATCAGGGATGCTATACACGAATTCTGCATGAAGCAGGGGGTTGGACTATGTGGCCTGTAGGGCCCCCTTCCAACTCTAATTCTATGACCTATGAAATATTGGCAAATTGATAGCCCATCGTTATACAGTGTTCAGATGTCTCCTGAAGCCAGGAATGCTGGAACTGTTTAGGAGGGCATCTTTTCCTATTCCCCCCTTTCTTAACTTTTAAAATTTTAATTGTCTACCTGTACATATGTGAAAATGAACAAATAAGTGATTAATAAAGACAGAGGAAGAGCTATGTTCCCTCAAGAGCACTCTGATCGGGGAATTGCCACCTCCTGGTAGTTCCGGGTCCCCGAGAGGTTAAGTTTGCCCCTACAAGGGTCAGGGCATTTTCGGTGGCGGCTCCTACCTGGTGGAATGAGCTCCCAGAGGAGATCCGGGCCCTGCGGGACGTTATGCAGTTCCGCAGGGCCTGTAAGACGGAGCTCTTCCGCCAGGCGTTTGAGTAGGAGCCGCCGCCGCCACTATCCTACCAACGAGATAGTATGTCATCGGCTGCCCTACGAAGGTGGGACAGTTATGCCCAGGCTGAAGTTTTGACAGCTTAGCGGGGAGACCGCGTGCTGGAAATGGCTGGCCATCAAGCTGAAAGATCGTCCCCACTTTGGCTGATGATGTAGCACTGTGTTTTAGGTTGCTTATTGTGGCTTAAATGTTGTATTTTAATTGTGTGTTTTATTGTATTTTAGATTCTGGCTTCGCCGCTTGTGAACCGCCCTGAGCCTTTGGGAGGGCGGTATAGAAATCTAACAAATAAAAATAAATAAATAAATAAATAAACCAAAATTTCTTATGTGTTACAGTGTCTGCTCCATGAGAGGCAAGCCTTCTGGCCGCTTTTGATCAATGCCTGCACATCTCTATTCCTCCTGAGCCGTGCTCGGCACAGAGGACGTGCCTCGTGCTTGCCTTTTTCACCACCTTGCTCGTGTTTGGCAATCACAATACAAGAACTCGTGGGCACTCCATGAAATTGCTGAGCGGTCGTGTTAGAACGGATAAGAGGAAGTCCTTCTTCACCCAAAGAGTGATTAACACATGGAATTCACTGCCACAAGAAGTGGTGGTGGCTACAAGCATGGACGGCTTCAAGAGGGAATTAGATAAGCATATGGAGCAGAGGTCCATCAGTGGCTATTAGCCACAAGGTATAGATAGGGGCTCTGGGGCAAGTAATGCTCTGTCTTCTTGGTGCTTGGGGGGGTCAACAGTGGGAGGGCTTCTAATGTCCTGGCCCCACTGCTGGACCTCCTGATGGCACTGGTATTTCTGGCCACTGTGTGACACAGTGTTGGACTGGATGGGCCTTTGGCCTGATCCAACATTGGCGTCTCTTATGTTCTTAACATGCTGGCTGCATCAATGGGATCAGCGCAGAGGCCCTTGGCATTCTGTGCAGGCAATTCCTCTCTCCCAAGATCCACTGCCCAGTTTCTCAACTCTGATATCCTCTTTGGTGCAGTGGTTAAGAGCGCCAGACTTTAATCTGGAGAACCGGGCTTGATTCCCCACCCCTCCACATCAAGCCAGCTGGGTGACCTTGGGTCAGTCACAAGTTCTCTCAGGCCCACCTACCTTACAAGGTGTCTGCTGTGGGCAGAGGAGGGGAAGGCTGCTCTGAGACTCCTTCGGGTAGTGAAAAGCGGGGTATAAAAACCAGCTCTTCTTCTTCTTCCCCTTCGTCAAGACTCTTCTGATGTCACAGACGCCATTACAAGGTACTTCATCACCAGTTTGGTGTAGTGGTTAAGTGCGCGGACTCTAATCTGGGAGAACCGGGTTTGATTCCCCACTCCTCCACTCCCACCTGGCTGGATGACCTTGGGCAAGCCAAAGTTCTGATAAGAGCTGTCCTTGAAAAAGAGCAGTTTCTGTCAAGAGCTCTCTCAGACCCACCTACCTCACAGGGTGTCTGTTGTGGGGAGGGGAAGGAGGTTGTAAGCCGCTCTGAGACACCTTTGGGTAGTGAAGGGCAGGGTATAAATCCAATCTCTTCTTCTTCTTCCTGCTTCCATTAGATTGCTCAGTGCTCTGGAGGGCAGCTCTGCTGGATGCCACATGATGCTAAACACCAGATTAGAAACTCGCTGCTGAAAGAAGCAAAGCCTCAGTAAGGGGTGTCATGAAATAAGGCCCCAGCACATCATCTTCTAGTTCAGCCCCTTTCCCACGCCCTCCAGCTTGAGTTCATTCACAAATTCAGAACAATCACTCTTCCCCACCCCCAGGGACAAAGGATTCTTATCTCACTACATGTGATAATTTTCTACCTTTAAGCATTTCCCCCTGGCTCTAATCAAGCTGATAACAACTTGCATTGTACCTCCCCCTCCTGAGTTCCTTCTCTGCAACACCTCTCCCACCCTCTGGACTGGGATGTAAGAACTCAAGGGGTCTCCACTCCGACTCGTATCGGACAGGAGCTTTGACTCTTCAGACCTTATACCCCCACCAAGTCTTGTTGGTCTCTGTGGAGGAGCCATGGCCTCCAAGGAATAGCAGGGTCATGCTGTGGAGCCAGGCAATGGGAAACCGCCTCGGAACATCCCTTGCCTTGAGAACCCCACGGGGTTGCTCTTAAGGCAGCTGTGAGCTGACGGCACTTCCCGCCACCACGCCTTTCTGAAAACCGCGGAGAGATTCACCTTGACAACAGAGTAGCAGGGATGTGAAAGCACCGGAGGTATGACGGGGAAAGTGGGGGGAGCTGTCAGCCACCCCACAGGAAAAGATACACGTACCCCACAGGAAAAGATACACGTAGAGAGCCAGTTTGGTGTCGTGGTTAAGTGTGCGGACTCTAATCTGGTAAAACCGGGTTTGATTCCCCACTCCTCCACTTGCACCTGCTGATGTGACCTTGGGTCAGTCACAAGCTCTGGCACAGCTGTCCTTGAAAAAGAGCAGTTTGTGTCAGAGTTCTCTCAGCCCCACCCACCTCACAGGGTGTCTGTTGTGGGGAGGGGAAGGGAGAGGAGTTTGTAAGCCGCTCTGAGACTCCAAGTGAAGGGCGGGGTATAAATCCAATCTCCTCTCCTCCTTTGCCACAGGAAATAAAACGCACCTGCATCTTGGTCAGTATTCCCTCTAAGCTGAGTCAGTGTGAGTTGGATCACAGTTGTTTAGCCTCCGGCTCACACATTTTTGTCTCCGCTCGGGAAGGGATGGCTCCTGAGCAAACTGATTCATGCCGTAGCCAAATTGCTCGAGCACAACTTGAATGCCAGTAGCTCACGAAGTAGAAATTTTGCTCACAAGACTCCACGGCTTGGAGGGAGCATTGACCTTGGTTGGTGAAAGTTCCACCAGCACTAGGACCCCGTCCCTCCCTGGAAGCTTGTGCCCTTTCCAAGTATTCTGCCTCCCCAAGAAAGGTGGAGCCCCCAATAAGGAAATGACAGTCAGTGTGACATGCTTGCTTACTCGGGAGACTGTTTTACCTTTAAACACACTAAACGTCAGATTTCTGCTGCCACCAGGAATTAAAAATTCCAAATCTCTCTCTTTTGGTAGTATGACCTAGGGTCTGGGCACTTCAGAGGACTATGTGGCCCTGAGGAAGAACTGTACTGATTTTTGGGATAAGTTTAAACAAAAATTGATTTATTTAATAAAGAACAAAATATGTTTCTGGTTATTTTGAACAGTTGCTGAAGAAAGGAACTTGTAAATATAACTGGCAAAGCTTGGTGACACAAACAGCCTCTCAAACTCCACTCTGACAGGCTTATACACTCATATATATAGCCACAAGGGCTAGTCTCTTTGTTTTATTCACACTGAATAGAATCAACTCTTAGTCACACAGGCTAAACTGTTGGTCTTATTCACATAGAATTAGACTCAAAATCCTATATTCACACAGATTATGTTCTCTCTTGAAGCTTCACACACAGAATCCTTCATGACTCTCTTCAAAACTCTTCCATACTTGTCTCTAATACCCCAGAATCTCCTCATACACACACAGAATCCTCTCAGACACCCCTCCTCCCACACGGAGTCAGCAGCCAATCAAATCACACTTGTCACCCTCTATCACTCATCTAATATTATTGCCTTCAAACTAAACATTTAAAGGAACACATACACCAAAACATGGAATCATTACAGTCAGACTGTCTCATTCAATAGGTATTTTCAAGGGTCCACAAATGTGGCAGCCAGTGGCCAGTGGTAATGATACCTCACTTTTCAATCAGGCCTGGCTAGTGGCTTTTAGGAACCAGCTTTTGGATTCAGAATCCAACTTTCGTTCATCAGTGATCAGAGAATCGAATAGAAACATTTTATTGTAGATGGCCATAGGCCTTCACAATATCAAAACTCTCAGTTTATACAACATATACTAGAAAAATTCAACCTCTACTAGCACATATAAAACACCTGTTAAGACTATCTCGATCTCTAATATTTAAAATCGGTAAGACCTTTCAAAATCTCTCACTTGGTTACAATGGTACTATTCAATTTCTTTGCTCTAATCTTTCTAGCGGACGGGGCAAAGAGAGCCAATCTTGTGGAGATAAAGGGGTCTTCATCTGAGAGCATAAAGGCTATCTTATTATAACCAGACCGGGGTTATAGGGCTGTCAATACCTTTGCTAAAAATCTGGCCCTGGGTTCAGTGATCAGAGAAATGAAAAACTCTCTTTACAGCCTAATGACAGATCTTTATACTCTCACTTGGCTAACCCAACAGATGAGAAAATTGACCACTTTTTGTCCCTTAAGTAAAAGCTAGTTTAGCTATAAATGACGATATTAGTTTAGCTATAGTAGTTTAGCTATAAATGACGATATTATAAAGGATACTGATTTCGAAGAAACACTTGCCAAAGCCCGCAGTGCGTGCTCTCCCCTTCTATTTAACTTCAACCCAGTGCACGTTACCGAGACTTACCAAGCACGTTACCGAGCGCGATCTTCCTTGGATCTTCGGCTCCACGTGGCTCAGCCTCCCTTGGATCGGATCTGGTCCAATTCGGCTTCCCTCGCCTCTGCTCACCTTCTTCTGGATTCCATCAGCTCTGCACGATTCGGCTCAGCGCGGTTTTTCCCCTCCGGCGTTGGCAGACGCTTGAAATCGGCCCAGCTTAACAAAGGTGCTGAACTGTACAAGGAAGAGACTGAGGATCTCAAAATGCAACTTGCTGTAGCTGATGCGACATTAATGAAACAGTCCAGATTTTTTTTTTTTTAAACCGGGAACTAGCAAACCCAGCAGCCCCTGGAGATCACAGGGAGGGGCGGTTAAGAAACCTAAGAGAAGACCTGTGCAGAGCAGGATGCAACAATCACGTCCAGCCAAGTGGGATTTTACAAAATATCCAGATGCTTGTGCTGAAATCTGAACACGCCGCACTAGAAAGGGAAGTCGGCCAGCTCAAGACAGAACATGAATCGCTGTTGAAACGTAAGGTTTGCAGGAGGCGAGTCCTCAGAAACTGCATCTTTAGAAGAGGGGGATATATCCAGTTAAAGGAATCTGGTAGTAGGCGGTGTGAAAGACCTCTTCCCGAGACCCTGGAGAGCCGCTGCCTGTCAGAGCAGAACCGCAGAGCAAGGATTTGTGATTTCAACTTGTAATGAACGACTCGGTAAGAGTTAGCGATGGCTCCTGGAAAAGAAAAAAACCCAGAACAAAAACAAAGCATATTACCTATCTGTAATAACAGTCCCAAGGTATCACCGTGCATTGACACTGGTTAGATTTAACATGCTACCACCCACACCTCTATTAGGTTTCCCTTGCTCAAAACCCAGTCGAATCCAAGTCGAGGGTTGCGGTGCTCGTCCCCGTTTCCAAGCCGAAGAGCCAGCACTTGTCCGAAGACGTTTCCGTGGTCATGTGGCCGGCATGACTAAACACCAAGGCGCACGGAAGGCTGTTACCTTCCCACTGAAGTGGTACTTTTTTTATCTACTTGCAATTTCTTGCTTTCGAACTGCTAGGCTGGCAGGAGCTAGAACCAGAGATGGGAGCTCACTCCGTCATGTGGCACTCGGGTCTCGAACTGCTGAACTACCAGCCTGCAGTTCTTGCTCCGATAACTGATTCACATTTTTCCACTGTAGATTCTACGTTAAGGCACGCTTGGATTTATTGGAACCTGTATTGGCTGACAAAAAACCCCTCAAAATCCTATTGGCAGGGGTTGTCCAAAGAACTACTGTATCTGTGGCTAAATTTCTGTGCTCCTCAATGAAAACACAGACAGAAATAACATCCAGTATTTAAATTAACCAAATTCTAACCTTTAAATCATTAGATCCAGTTCACTTTCCACTGACCAATTGTTCCTGGATACCCAGATCAAACCAAGGACCACCACCCCCTTCCGCAAGTTCTCCATTCACTGCAAGGAACTGGAACGGACCCTGCTTCATACTATGAGGCAAAAACACACTCTACACCAGTTCTGTGGTGGACACGCACACACACAAAACCCATGCAAAGAGCTGGTCTTGTGACAGCCCGGCCCAACCGCTCTGCACAATCTTCTCTGTGTCCCAGAGGTCTCACAGAGGAGATGCATTAGTGGTGTCTACAAATAATAGTTCACTGTCAAAAGAAGTCAAAATCTTTATGTCCTTGCAAAATGCCAACTGACCAGTGCTCCCTCTAAGCTGAGTTAGTGTGAGCTAGCTCAGTTTTTTACCCTTCGGCTCACACATTTTTGTCTTAGTTCAGGAAGGACGGCTCCAGAGCAGACTAATTCATGCAGTAGCCAAATCGCTCGCTCACAACTTTAATGCCAGTAGCTCACAAAGTAGAATTTTTCCTCACAAGACTCCACAGCTTACAGGGAGCATTGCTACTGACTAGTATCTTGTTCTCTGCATTCATTCTGCAGAAAGATGTTAGCCAGTGCTTGATTTTTTTTTTTTAAGAGGAAGAACATCCTCCCTCTGCCCCATCCCATCCCATGTGTCACGACTGACAAAAGACAATTATTAAAAACAGGGAGATGAGCAATACTCCACACGCTACCAAACATGTCACACAACTGTCTGAGTTTTGTTGACTGGACAACAGCTGTGCTAATTGCGACAGCATGCAAATGACTGGAACCGCAATATATTTTTGCAACGCCCTTTCTGAATGACTGCACTCAAGAGGTGCCGCATCTCACCTTCGGGAAACCGGTAATTCCAGGAGTACTGAGCTGACCTTTCTAGATAAAAAAGGCCCCTGGAAGTATCCAAGGGATACAACGTGACCCAAACTAACACAGAGATAGTCACACTACATACTTCTATAGACAACCATGGACTAAATCAGTACCTAAGCGATAAAAAAACACACAATAGAAGTGCTGAATGGCCAGTTTCCGTCCAAACTCCACAGCAGCCTTGCCCTGTGTTTCATCTGCTGACCGATACAGGCTCCGACAGCTGGTCTGAGCACGTTTTTCAATGGAACCGAAGCTGCCCTCAAACTCAGCTCTGCTACACCCACAAAGGACAGACGCTGGAAAGCCATCGCTGACAGCTACCAGAACTGCAATACAAAAATGCTCCACACCGTCTTAAGGCAGTGTAGTGCTCCTACCTGGCGGTTATCACCAGACCTCAAACACTCTCACGCCAACCTGGTGGGAGGTTGGGCTGGAGCCCCTGAATGGCGGAGCACTCTGGACAAATATTAACAAAACCAGGAGTCATGTTATTCTTGCTTTTAGGGTGTAACAGGCTGCCGCCAGGCTTGCTTCGTCCAGAAATGCAAAGTACAAACCAACCCTGCTTCCTTTAGGACAGGGGTGTCAAACATGCGGCCTGGGGGCCGAATCAGGCCCCTGGAGGACGACTTCTATCAGGCCCGCAGTGGAACTGGCTGTCTGCTGCTTCTTCTTCCAGTTCCGCTACTGCATCATTGTAGATTTGCAGCTTACAGGTACACACCTGAACAGCATACTCAAGAATACAACAGCAGACATTTTGATGCAATAATTCAGAGCAACAGGTGTCAGTTATTAGACACTGTTAAACAAAATATTGCAAGAGTGCTAATGTTTTAAGCAGGTTTTTATTTTAAGCAAAAAAAACCCTTTGTGTTTGTGTCCTCATAAACTTTATAATCTCTGCTTCCTAGCATTACATTTTATGACACACATGGCCTGGCCCAACAAGGTCTCGTTTATGTCAGATCTAGCCCCCATAACAAATGAGTTCGACACCGCTGCTTTAGCACATTAAACGGAAATGCAAACCCTCTCCCGAGAGTCAGGAGTTCCATACACACACAAACAATGTTGGTAGGGCCAAAAAGGCAACTAGAAAAAGCCTTCTGCAATCCCCAGGCAGAAACACACCAAACAGGTATGCAACTAAAAGGTTTTATTTATGGTGCAAAGTACTACCAGCATACTATGTGAACAGAAAATAAAAAAGGTTTTTAATATCTCTAACTAAATCACCTTGGTCATTACAACACCAGTTCTCCCCAGCAATTCTTGAAGCACAAACAACAGACAATCCACTTACAGCAGTTCAAAAGGCAGACCACGAAATCTCAGTCCTCCCGACAGAGTTTCAGGGTTTCTAAATGTCATAATAATAGCACCCTATTGCATAACCAGCTAAGGGTCTAAGGTTAGACAAAGAAGACAGGGAAAGACTTCATTTTTAATCACTTCGGGAAATACCTGACTGTAGGCACTAATTATCAATTAGAACTAGCAACCAGGTTCACCTGATCTCAATAAACCAGTCAGGGAGTTTGACTATATACAGTAAATAAAGTATTTGACAGATGTAATTGAAAGCTAAACTAATCGACATTCATATGCTTGGCTGCCACAGGGGAACCCCAATCAGTTTCGGCTGTCCAAGGCCATTCCTACTAAGTAAAAAGATTTTTAAAAAGTCTTTGTGGTGTCGGTGCTGGGCAAGAAAAGCTAATGGTCTGCAAATGGCCCTATCTATGCTTCTCAAAGCTCAATAATATGAAACTAAGCACTGGGCTTCTGCACAGAACTAAACACAAAATAGACAGCTAAAAAATAAAATAATCCCCTGTTACTATAGGAAGTATCCATCTTCTGTGTTGCCATTAAAGCAGGCATTAGTCCCAAGTGCTGTAACCACTGGCCTGTCCTCAGCACGGATTATGGTCATCATTTTGTTCACTGAAAAGGTGCCTCTGTTTACATGTTAAAACAGCAGCCAGAGTCTTATTCGCAACCGGCATGGAGAACACTGAAAACCCCAAAGCTTAATGAGTTGTTAACGAAGATTATGGAATGTACTGAAATGGACAGATTGACAAATAAACTAAAAGGAAAAATGGAAGAAGAATTTATGGGACCACGGAGGGCGTTTTATGACTGGTTAAAACATAAGTACTGAGAAACTAAGACTAAATGAAGAACAATAAGAAAGATGGTAATCATAGTTGTGAAACTTTCAGGAGTTGTTAATTTGGAATTTTTATATACAACTCTGTACTCTTCCTCCTCTCTTTTCCCTTCCCCCCTTTCTATATATAAACTAATATAACTATTAAAAAAAGAAAAGGTGCCTCTGTGAGAAGATAAACGGTGGGTTGAAGTTAATTAAAGATCGTATGTAGTGGAAGGCCTGAAACAAGCTTAGCTCTAAGGGTCGGATACTCTTCAATCAAATCATGCTTCCTTCTTGCCAAGCATAAGAGGATCAGTATTCTGACCCACAAAAAACTCCACTTTCAAAAATCTGCTCTCGAACCTCCATAGAGGAACTTTTCAACTCATCCAAATCCAGGTAATAAGTTTTTAATTCTTTTGGTAAAGGATTTATTTAATTCTTTTGATAAAGAATCCTCACCTCCCTCTCCCTCCTCTATATTTTGTTCAGAAAACACTCCTACCTCAGATGTAGATCAGGGTTTCTTCATTATCTTCAAGTCCCTCTATGTGTCCTTTCATCAACCGAGAAGGTACAGGCCCATCCACAGCTCGCTGTTGATCTATAGGAAAAGTTTCCATTAGTTCCAATGGGGGATGACTGAGCAATTTCTTTCCATTGTCTTCAATAGGTGAAGCTCCAAACATTTTTCCCGTCCCGTCCCCCCGCTGGGGGCCCCCTCCATTTTCAGGTACCCCCATGGGGGAACCCTTTAAACGATAGAATCTGTTGAAAACCAACAACAACAAAAAAAGGCCAAAAACAAAACCAAGAAGCAGGAGCAGTTCTGCAATCAGTCTCACCTACCATCAGGGTTCGGGGGTTAGGGTTACTCTTTATTACAGCTTATTGCAGCTGAGAGCAAGTTCCTACACTCAAGAAGATTTCCCAGCGTTAATCCCTACAGTCATTATCTACTACTGAATTCTAGCTTTACTACTGTCCTCCCATAATGCAATGAAAGGGGGTAAAGCTTCTATATGCACAACACTGCCTGACCTCTTCCTGAAGCCGACAAGGAAAAGACTAGGAAACACCATGTCTTTCTGCTGCTTTGGCGAGTCATAGAAAAAGACAGAAAGGAAACCAACAGTGACTTATATTCAGCAACTATTCCTGTATAAATATCTCCCTTTCTGGAACAAGGCTTCCTACCAAATGCATACTCAAAGCAATGGATCTAAATTGATTCACAACAGGTAACTTCTCTGCAAAGCGTTCTGTGGCCTATTTTTCTGAAAGCCCTGCTGGATCAGACCAGTAATCTACCTACAGCAGCATCCTGTTTCACGCAGTAGCCAACCTAAAAGGACAACAAACAGGACACAGAAGACAACACCTTCTCCTGACTTCCTCCAAACTCTAATATTCAATAGCTTGCTATCTCTGATTATGGAACCTTCTTTTAATCACCATAACTAGTAACTACAAATAAATCTATTCTCTATAAATCTGGTGAAATCTAATTAAAACAGTCTGCGTTTGTAGCTATTGCTATGCTAACTGCACTGGGAGTAAATTCCACTATTTAATTACTCTTTGAGCAAAGAAGTATTTCCTTTTGGGCATCCTGAACCGACTGTCAACTGTATTGTTGCCTGTTTCTTTGTGGGGGTTTTTTTGCTGCCACAGCCGGCCATAGCTATGGCAAAGATCCCAAAGGGCAACCACGTTTCAGCACCAGAGCAGGCGAAGCCACAGCCTCCTAAAAGACCTTGCGAATAGCAGTCTAGCGGGGTACCTTAAAGACAGAGCAGATTTTATGCCAGCATCAGCTTTTGTGGACAAGAGGCCCACTTCTGCGGTGGCTACAGATCGGTCCTGGCTATACAAACCCACTACGAGGATCTTGGTCTTTCATGAGATAGGTTGTCATCCGTTTATGCTGATGCTAGAAAAAAACCTTGTCAGTCTTTAAGGTAAAGGTAAAGGTTCCCTTGCTCGAACGCCATTCGAGTCCGACTCTAGGGTTGCGGTGCTCCTCTCCGTTTCAAAGCCAAAGAGCCAGCGCTGTCCAAAGACGTTTCCGTGGTCATGTGGCCGGCATGACTAAACACTGAGGCGCACGGAAGGCTGTTACCTTCCCACCGAAGTGGTACCTATTTATCTACTTGCAATTTCCATGCTGGTCCACAAGTAAAAGCCCAAAATAATCTTAATGCAATGCCATTGTTAGCACCAGCTCAGTGACACATAACAAGTTTTTTGCATTCCCTAGAACTCTCCAGCAGGCCAAGTGTTATTTATTTTTTTTTAAAGGCAGATGAACAAATTTTAAGAAAAGCATGGGGAGAAACACAGCTCTGTTCCCCCCCCCCCTCACACACACATTGTGATTTGGAGAGAGGGTAGGAACACCTGGTGGAGCTAAAAGTGAAAGACAGGATTTCCTGGTGGTGGTAGCAGTGGCTACGGGGGAAGGGGGTGTTGGGGAGCCAAACTGAGGTGAAAGAATTTCCTACAGCTCTGGGGGGAGATGATTTGGGGCTCAGGGAGAAAAACAGCATCGTGTAGTGCTTAATATCCAGCAGTCCTCAACCAGAGCCAGGGCTTTCTCGGCCCTGAGTCCGACCTGGTGGAACTCTCTGCCAACGTCCATCAGGGCCCTGCAGGGCTAATGCAATTCCAGAAGGCCTGTAAAGGCAGAGATGTTCCGCCAGGCTTTTGGTTAAGGACAGCAACTGTTTTTCATCATAGCTGGCACCCTCCTCTTTTCTTCCATTCGGCTTGCTTCGGCCTCCCCTTAACCTGCCCACAAGACAGAAGAACAGTTGAGTAGGATTGATAATGAATTATGGACGCCATCCGGGGATTATAAAATTAGGAATAATTGATCTGCTGATTTTAATCTGTATTTTTTTGTATGTTCTTAGCCTGTAGTAAATTGCCCAGAGCCCTGTGTACTCAGGAACTGGGTGATTCAAAAATTCAACAAATAACAATAACAACAGGATCTGGGAAATCCAAGTTTAAATCCCCTCCATGGAGGTTCACTGTGTGACTTTGGAGGAAAAAAAAGAGATTGGATTTATACCCCACCCTTCACTCGGAGTCTCAAAGCAGCTTACAAATACCTTTCCCTTCCCTTTCCCACAACAGACATCCTGTGAGGTAGGTGGGGCTGAGAGAGCTCTTTCCAGAACTGCCCTTGAGAGAACAGCTCTGAGAGAACTATGGCTTGCCCAAGGTCATCCAGCAGCTGAAAGTGGAGGAGTGGGGAAATCAAACCCGGTTCTCCCACTTAACCACACTGGCTCTGGCTTTCTGGATCAAACTTAAGAGTTCAGTGGCACCTTTAAGACCAACAAAGGTTTATTGAAGGTATGAGCTTCCGTGTGCAAGGCACACTTTTTCAAATACCTCGAATCAACCTTTGCTGATGTTAAAGGTGTCCCTGGACTCTAAATTTGTTCTACTGCTCCACACCAACACAGCCGATCACCTGGGTGACCTTGGGCCACTCATGCACTCTCACCCTAACCTACCTTACAGGGCTGTTGTGAGGATGACATGAAGGAGAGCAGAATGACGTAATCTGCTTTGGGTCCCCACTGAGGTGAAAGGCAGGATATAACTAAAGGAAATAATATGAAACGGGCTCACTTAGACCGCCCAAGGCTGAAAAACAGCATTTGCAGAGAAACCAGGCCTTATGAGATGAAGAAACTGCTTAAAAATCTGCTTTCTCCCCTTTTTTATTTTGCCACATCGGACCCATGAACACTTCCGGGGGGCTCGAACTCTTGCACATCGCTGTGGGTCGGCCCCACCGAAAGCATTCCAGGGATGGTGTTTTTCCCGGCTTGCACCGCCCGAGTCCCACTCCCGCATCGCCCAACAGACTCGGCTGCGCTTTCCTTCCATAAAAGGAGCGGACCGAAGGGGCGGGACAAGAAACCGGAAGTAAGAGGACGTAAAGGAACCGCATCCCTCCGGACGTCACACTCGGCTTCCGGTCCCCGGCCCCGCCCATCTTCACAACCCGCGTTCGCAAGCCGCTTGCGTCACTAACGGCTCATCCCCCTACACGTCATTACCATGTTTGCCCCCCTCCCCCTTCGAAACCAAACCGAACTAATTTTTATTTAGTCCTCGGTGAGGGAAGCAGAAATGAGCGGTCTTACCTCAGTGGTGGCTACCGAAGAGGCTGTGCCACCACAGACCAGGCAGCGCCTCCACCACAGCCGCTCCGGCCCCCCCAAGCGAAAGGAGCCGACGACGTGACTGAGCAGCGCACAAAATGGCGCCGGGAGTCGGCGAGAAAAATACAATTCGCAGGCCAGGACGCGCATGCGCTCTGCGAGGCGGCCCGCCGTCCTTCGCCACCGCCGCAAGCCACTGCGGGCCCCGCCTCCCCTGCCTTCCGTTTCCATGAGACGGAGCCGAGCCGGCCAATCGGCGCTCCCCACCCTCCCCCTCTCTCCTTCTCCCCTCCCTCTTCCTGCCGTCCAATCCCCGCGCTTCACATCCGGACCTT